GACTAGCAATAATACCATCTAAAACTATGAGATGACGGGCAGAAACTTGCAGACGATAATAGAGAGTGCCAGCCAAGCAGCTTCAATATTTATAACTGTAGATAATATCAAAAGTCATTCTTTCAATACGAGATCATGGGCAAACGAAGAGCAATGGTTTTGTTTTAGCATGTAATCTGAGATTATTCCGGCAAATTAGGTTCAAAAAAGTCGTAGAAAGATTGCGATCTAGTTTAGCAAGAAAAATTGACAAGAACGAAGAAGAATATTAGCGAATGAGGAAAGCGTACTGTTGCTTTTTTGTTTACAACTAGCTTACGTGGTACATAATATTAACGCTTGTAAACAATGTATAAGAATTGGATCATGGTTTCAAGAGATGACAATAACGACAGATTGCGATTATTGTTTAGCAAAGAATCGAGATGCTCAGCCAAAAACAGCATCAGAGAGTCAGAGAACAAAAACAAACGTAGGACTCGATAGTGTGCCAAGATGCAAAGCGTCGACAAACCCATAAAAACATAGTAAAAAGTAACGAAAGGCTATATGAAGGCTATATGGCTGGAACAGGGGATTGAGATAAGGCTTCATGGCCGTTCAAATAATACGGATGCACGAACTTTGCCCAGAATACATATACACGGGCGGATTTGGAACGACAAAACTGATGGAGAGTGGAATTTTGCAATAAAAAGGTATGTCTCAATAGTTGAAGAAATGTGTGCATAGATTGTGTCATAGATTAACATGTACGACTGTTGCAATTACAGCTGTAAATACTAATTGGGTGATTGTCCTGTGCATTCAGAACAAAGATTAAAGACACATGAATATTTATTTCAGCTGATCAAACAATCACAAAATTGACATTAGATAGATCCATCGTAATCAGCATATCAACCACCAACAAATATTTACACAACAGAACTCGGCCGGAGACTTCAAAACGCCGAATTTGAAAATTGACAGAGACCGGTAATCCAATATAGAGGGAAACGCACTGTGAGATAAACTTTACAGCTACTATAATAAACAATGGTTAGGCTGAGCCGTCAGAACCAGTACTCGTGTCGGAACTTTCGGAGTCCGAGTCTGAACTGCTACCAATGTCCGTGTCACTGTCGCCTAGATAGGCATACGATTAGTCAATTTTTTTGTAATAAAGTGCAGAATACTAGTGCCACTGAAATACTGAGGTAATCTAGGGGAAAAAATACCTTCCCGGACTTTATCAGGCCTTTCTTCATCGGACTCGTCTCCCGCTCCTCTTTCCAGGTCTCTATCGTCTGTTACAGATTGGGCTTCCTTGAAAAACGAACAAGATGAGGCAAAGAGTTGAGTACACAGGGAAATATCAGTAATGAGTGGTAACATGATAAATGAAATAACATAGAATATATTCAAAAAAGATTTGATAAATCAACAAAAGAAAAGTTATTTTGATTCACCTTAGCCATTTGCTCTCTCTGTTGCTTCCATCGAGCTGCTGCCTCTAATAATTTGAAGGATCCCTTGGCGGCTGAAATGATGGTGAAGTATAAGCTAGCGTCAAAAAGTTGGTAGGAAGTTTCCATATATGACTAAGTGTACTAAACTTAAGCAAGGAACGAAAAATGGTCTTTTTCAAAGTACGAAGATGTACTTTCGATCGGAGTGATTGAAACAAGCGAAAACCACATACGGCCAAGAAACTGATTACAAAAACTGCTGCGAGCGTACTTTTGCTTCAGGAAACTCACAAGTAACGCTATAGCGAAACATCACGGTTCTCAATCAGCTGGTCTCCAATAATATTTTTCCCACAGATCTACACTCGGACAGCTTTGTTTGAATTTTGAAAACTGCAATCAAACTCTGACAGCCATTTGAAGATAGATTTCGACAAATTTGGGAAAAGTTCCTGCCGTACCTAACCACGTACACCCACTGTAACAGCAACTACGATCAAAAACACCCTCCTTATCTGATGTGGGAGACTTGCCTTGATCTTGCGGGAAGATGTAGTCATAGTACTCTTCCCATCCAGCATCCACACCATCCTCTGTTTGGATTTGCCTTCGCTTCTTTACACGCCGTGGCATCATATTTTCAACTCTGCAAGCAAGATTTGTTTTATGATTCAAAGTCAATTATGATTTATATGCCCGTTTAGAGCTATAAAAGGAGATGCATCGTTGTATATTCAGTCACAGTATCTTCATCCAAGTAAACTAAAGTTTACACTAATGTGCGAAACACATTTCTGTCACCATACCGTAACCCGCAAGGGACAACTGACCGTATCAACTCTACTGTATATGGTTCGCATCCTAACCAAGACCGTTCAGACTACGAAGATTCCACAATATAAAACGGGTACACAAAAGCCCAGGAAAGGAGCACCTACTTGTGGATTGCATTGATATCTCCAATCTTCTTTTCAGCTTCAAGCCAGGCCTCTAACAACATCAGACGCTCCTCCTTCTCCGCATTCTCCAGAGCTCTGTTGGCACGATCGTAAACCTAGTAAAAGTCAGAGATAATAATATTAGTAGAGGACGATCTGGTATGCAACAGATTGTAGCAAGGCTGACAGAGATTGCATACATTACTACTAATGGCAAAATAACTCTACAAAACGCAACGCTGGTAGATTTCGATAGATTTTACGACTGACAACAGTTTTGGAATGGAACAGTGCCTGCCCCGCCAGAAACACCTACTTATCGCATATACGATTTGCAAAAAGCCACTTATCAGCATGTGACATCAACACTCCTTCTAATGACAGCATAAAAGTCTATAAAAACTCTCAAGCACAACGAAATATACAATAACAATTCAAGTACTTACTTTTCTAGTGCCTTCCACATTTCCTATAGATAGCTCAAACTCCGCGAGAGAGATCCAGACCTGAACAGAAGAAGAGAATGAACCAACAATAAACCAATAAACATTTAGCGAACCTTGATGTGATTCGTTCGCTGTAACAGCGCCTCATACAAGTCACGAGCTTTCTCATACTCTTCTGCATTGATCTCGAAATCGATGTACGCCTTCCACAAGATCTAAGCAAAAAGAGTTTTTAGGAAACTATTGTATTCGGTGTGTTTCAAATGCAATCAACATCGTTTGGGATGTAACTCCCTGGAACAAACA